GCTGAAAGAGCCTGAAAGTGTAAGTGAAAAGGAAAGGTTTGGTTTCTTTGAAAGTGTAAACATTCTGTAGTTGTTCCAGTAACTTACTTCTTCAGATCAGCTTTTCTGAGCCCTTGCCAGTTTCAACTCCGCTGTGTTAGGCCTTGCTGCAGGCCTTTCCGGCAGGCTGGCTCTGCCAACAATAGTCTTTCCGGAGCCATTGGCTCCTCAGCTTTCTTTAGGCTCCCTTTTGCAGCCACAGCCTTTTGGGGCCTTCAGGGGATTTTCAGCACCAAGCACCTTCAATTGTTTTCATTGTTTTCTCTTAAATCTTCTCCAGATGTTGAGCTGGGAAGAGCCAGAGATGCCCATGCCTTTGCTCACCACATACTCAATGTCAATAGACTTCATGCTTTCTCCAGATTGTACTCTCTGCCTTCCACAGCTTTCGGTGTTCACTCCTCAGCAATGAGCTCTCTGTACTCATACCCAAAAGCCCAAGAGGAAAAGGAACCCACAGGCTGGAGGGTGCTATTCCAAGAGGCCTCTCTCAGAGGTGTGTCATTACAAAGTTCAGTGACTGATAGCTAAGGCAGCCTCAGGCAGGTGTGAAGAGCCACATTACAGTGCCCTACCCTGGTCACCATGTTGTTACTGGCACTGAGTTTTGCTACAAGCCTCCAAAGTCACGTATTCCTTGTTGCTGCTCTGGGATTCCTTTCCTAGACAACTGTGGAGGAAAACATTTTTACAGGGTCCCAACAGGACTGTGGAAAACCATTAGAGGACTGGACTACCAGTGCTCAAATAACATCAGGGAAAAGTAAACACCTTATCTACCCACTTTAGTGCAAAAATGGCTTTTGCTTTTCAGCGAGCAGCTCCAGACGAAGCAGTATGAAAACACTTCTGCCCTGGAGACAGCCAGAGATCGTAACTGCAGCTGGTTTGGGGAAGCAGGTGCTGATGATTCCAAGATCACAGAAGAAAAGCCACCCAAAAAAATCCTGTTCAGCTACTGACTCACTTTCTAAATCCCAGCCATTTCTGGTCACTTACAAACATTTCCAGGAAACCTCTACAGGAATTCGTCAGAACCATCTGTCTCCATGGCTGATCACAGAGTAGCATAAGTTACTGATTACAAATGTCCAAATGTAACTTCCTTGCAGTAGAACTATTGTCACCATTGATTAACTTCCTTAAGGTTTACTGTTAATAATTTCAAGCTTGTAGGTTTTAATGGAACTTCTACTTTACTCATTCCACAGAGAAAATATTTTTTAGAATATTCCTATTGAAATAGGACTGATTTCCATTTTTACCACACATATTAAAAAAGGAATGCTGATATTACTTAGGCTTTTGTATCCCACTTCCTCACTCCTTTGCCTTATTGCCTGGGCTATTTCATGTACTTCTTACTGAGGCAAAGGCTAGTTCACTCATAACAAACTTGTTTATCATAATAGTTATTAATTAAAAGAAATTAATGTGACAATCTAAGGAAACTACAGCCTTTTCCAGGTATTGGTATCTCGCTACAACCAAAATGTTCAATAATTATAAAAATAAATGCATTTATTAAATAAATTGTCTTGACAAACAAACCACAAGGTTTATTCTACCCGGAAAATTAGGAAAATAAATTACTAGTACAGATCATTCAATGTTGAATTAAATTTGCAGTTATGCAGTAAAAGCAAGAAGTAAAACCACACCCAAATGCACTGGAATAAGACATTTTGTGATACCATAGCCCTTAACTTACAGCTTTCACACAAAACCCCAATTTCCCCAACATCTGCAGAAGAATCAGGATACCCCAGCAAGCATGATCTAGGGTACGTGCAGGTAGCTCACTGCCACTAGGTTTCCTTTTCAGAAGTCGTGAATGATTAAGTTATCCAAAACTGATCCAAACCAGTATTCTGCAGATTGTTCTCAGTATTTGTCATCTTTTAGCAAGCAATCCAGTCAAAATCTCCAAGATGTCACCACTTGAAACTGATAAATTGCAGCAGTTAGCAGAACACAGCAGAACCACTTTCAAATCCCATCTTAGGAGATGAAGTATTTCTGGTCATGCATTTTGGTGTTCATACAAAGACTACAAAATACCCTGCAGAGACATTCGCTACCTCTGTGCAAGAGTCTGACTAGAACCACAGGGAGGAGCAATAGAGACAGATGGTGCTCAAAAGAGATGCCAGTCCGAGACACGGATAAAATGGAACAAGAGCAGACGGCCAAAGGCTGTGGTCTTTGTGAAGGATACCCCACATCTTCTCAGACTGAGCAGATCCAGAGCACAAAAACCTGCTAATATAATGCCATCATTGCTAGAAGCCATCTTAACTATCAATTTGATCACTAGCTCTAAAGGTTGAGAGATGAAATTATAAAAATTCCATTGGGAAATAAAAGGAAACACTTCGGCAACCAAAGGTAATTAATCTTTGGAATGTGTTAGGTAAATTCTCCACAATGTGGCGCACTAAACTGAAATGGCAGGTTGTCCAAAAGGGCTTACTGTCACCCACACCATTTACAGGATTCAATACATCCTTCGCTACAGAAAAAGGCCACTTTGGATAAAACAATGACTTGAAAATCACTGTGTCTCTATAGTCTCTAAAACCAGGAAAATGAGATAACTCACTCAGGTGCCTTGTCCCTGCAACATGCTGAGCACTTCAGTACCTTTTAACACTTTTATCCTCACAACTCCCATTTTCCAGAGGAGCAACAGTAAAACAGTGACTATCCCATACTCCTGAGGGACTACAGCAGAGCAGAGCACTGAACCCAACGCTCCAGAAGCCTCATCCAATGACACCACTTGAGACTATAGGAACGGGTGCCACAAACTCCAGTTAGGAACTGGCAGGTCTACAGTTGTGTGAGGGCAACTGACCTGCCGAAAAGCAGAAGTCACAAAGATCAGAACCAGATTCCCACATCATCTAAACAAACAGTTCTTGGCTGTGCTTGAATTGTCTTTTTGGTTTTATTGGTGTAGATAAAAATCTGTAAATATGAAAAACCCATAAATCCAAAGCACTGTATTAAGGAGTAAGTAAAATCATAAATTAAAAAGCATCTTAGAAATATGATCCAGTTCCATATATGCCTACGGCATGTTAACCACTGCATAGGAGGAATGCTCAACTCTGGATTTATTCAAATTCACATTACTGCTTACAGTATGTGTCATTATTGCCAGTAACAACACAGCCTACACTGAAAATCCTACAGGTACTGGCAGACCTACTTCTACCCTGGAACCTGGTGTACACATATGTGGGTACAAGTGTGGTATTTCTGTGAGAGTGGGAAAATGGAACATTTCAT